ACTACAACTCCTCCTTTCACACTGAGTTAAGGGTTAGAAAAGGGGTAGAGGGTCATTAGTGAAGGTCCTGACTGTTATGGGGTCCTAGGTGGTGGTCGTGCTGTCGTAATGTCACCAAAGATACAAAGCTGGGTTCTGTGTGGCGTCTTCAGACTTCTTCTTTCCCGCAGTGGGGAGTGCTTTTGACTTGAGGCTTTTAGATGTGTGAGAAGATGAATCCCCAGTCTCAGTCCTTGACCTCCCTACTATGTCTAAGCCTGGTGTTTAATCAATATAATTTTTGATGATTCTCCATAATCTTGAATTAGAATTTGAAATGAAAGTGTTCTCTTTTGCTAGAGAACCTTAACTTCTTGGGTTTACAGTTTCCACTGGAATAAATTTTCTCAGTCATTTGTTGAGTTTTTATGGAGAATTTTTCAATTTTTGATGGATTTCAGTTTCTCAAACACAGGAATAAATTTTTTGAACTGATATAAAAGTTTCTTTATAGCTTACTGAATAAGGACATGGAGAGGTGTCATCTAACCTCATCTAAATTCATGAGGTCAGGAGGGAATCAGCGTTGTCATCAATAGCCCAAGGCTGATTCCTATGAGGCAGAGGTTAGACATGCTGCTACCCTCCAATGTTTTTCCAATTCTGACCTCAACTGTCCCTCTCAAGACATTTCTCTATTTCTCAGCACCACAACTCAAAAGCATCAACTCTTTGGTCTTTCTCATTCATTGTCCAGCTCTCAAATGGCTTGGGTTAGATGCACCTTAGTCTTCAGAGAGACATCTTTGCTGTTCAGCACTTGAAAGAGTTCTTTTGCAGCAGAATTTGCCCAGTGAAATAGGTCATCTGATGTCTTGACTGCTGCTTCCATTGGTGTTGATTGTGGGTTCAATAGTTAGTTGGAATGGCCACGTAGAACTCATAGATAATAATCACAATGATGGGGTTTTTTAGAGAAGTGAAAGTATCCTTCAGCTTCAGGCATACTCAGGATGGAGTTGTTCTTCAGTCAGGACAGCCTCTTCTCAGCTATGCCATGGGCACGTTTTTCTCAGGCCTTGGTCCCTGCTCTGCTCAGGCAATTGTTGAAAAGCTCTTTTAGCTCAGCTGATGGATGCCCACATGAAATGCCTATTCTGTCCACAAGCCTCCTGCCAGAAGGCACTCAGCTTTCCTGCTCCGTGGGTAGGAAGCCCGCTGCTGTGTCTTGTGCCAGTCTCAGTTCTGCTGCCTCTGCTGCTGCAGTTTCTCTGCTGCCATCTCTCACCATCTCTGTCCACCTCAGCAAAGTGTTACAACTCTCTCTTGGATCATAGAAGTTCAGTGTAGGGGACTTGGGTCAAAAGTACACATGCCACTCCTGGGTCTTCTTGTTTGAAGATAGTGAGATCCTCTTTTCCTGTTCTGAGATGGCTCATTTTAAGCCTTCTTGTTCTTATTGTTAGGTGCCCTCAGGTTGGCTCTGACTCATAGTCACAGTGACCCTGTGTATAACAGAACGAAACACTGCTGGGTCCTGTGCCAGCTTCACAATCCTTGCTATATCTGAGCCCATTGTTGCAGGCACTGTGTCAGTCTATCTCGTTGAGGGCCTTCCTCTTTTTCATTAACCCTCCACTTTACCAAGAATGATATTCTTCTCCAAGGAATGGTCCTTTCTGACAACATGACCAAAGTAGGTGAGACGAAGTCAGACCATTCTTCCTCTAAAGAGTGTTCCGGCCACACTTTTTCCAGGACAGATTTGTTAGTTGTTTTGGCAGTTCATAGTACCTTTAGTATTCTTCATCAGCACTGCAACTCAAAAGCAACTCTTCTTCGGTCTTTCTCATTCATTGTCCAGCTCTCAAATAGCTTGGGTAGATGTGCCATAGTTTTCAGAGAGACATCTTTGCTGTTCAGCACTTGAAAGAGTTCTTTTGCAGCAGATTTGCCCAGTGAAATATGTCATCTGATGTCTTGACTGCTGCTTCCATTGGTGTTAATTGTGGACCAAGTAATATGAAATCTTTGACAGCTTCTTTCTTTTCTCTATTTACTGTGATGCTGCTTATTGGTTCAGTTGTGAGGATTTTTGTTGTCTTTATGTTCAGATGTAATCCATACTGCAGACTGTACTCTGATCTACACCAGTAAATGCTTCAAGTCATCCTCACTTTTAGCAAGCAAAGTTGTGTCATCACTGTATTGCAGGTTGTTAAATGAGTCTTCCTCCAGTCCTGATGCTGCATTCTTCATATTATCCATCTTCTCAGATTATTTGCTCAGCATGCAGATTGAGTAAGTATGGTGAAAGGATACAACCCTAACACACTCCCTTAGTGATTTTAAACCATCCAGTGTTCCTTTGTTCAAAAAACAGCCTCCTGGTATTTGTACATGTTCCTCATGAGCGCAATTAAGTGTACTGGAACTCCCATTGTTCTCAACGTTATCCATAACTTGTTATGATCCACACAATTGAATGCTTTTGCATAGTCAATAAAACAAACACAAGTAAACATCTTGTATTCTTTGCTTTCAGCCAAGATTCCTCACTTCATGTCCTCTTCTGAATCCAGCTTGGATTTCTGGAGTTCTCTGTCAGTATACTCTTGTAACCGTTTTTGAATTAACTTCAGTAAGATTTTACTTGCATATGATAATAATGACATTGTTTGACAATTTCCACATTCTGTGGGATCACCTTTCTTTGAAATGGGTACAAATATGGATCTCTTCCAGTCACTTGGCCAGGAAGCTGTCTTCTAAATCTTTTGGCACAGATGGGTGAGTTCCTCCAGCATGGCATCCGTTTGTTGAAACATCTCAGTGGGTATTCTGTCAGTTCCTGGAGCCTTGTTTTTCACCAGTTCCTTCAGTGGAGCTTCAACTTCTTCCTTCAGTACCATTGGTTCTTGATCATATGCCACCTCCTGAAATAGATGAACATTGACCAGTTTTTTTTTAGTGTAGTGACTCTGTGTATTCTTTGCATCTTCATTTGATGTTTCCTACATCATTCAATATTTTGCCCATAGAAGCTTTCAGTATTGCAACTCAAGGCTTGAACTTTTTCTTTAGTTCTTTCAGCTTGTGAAATGCTGAATGTGTTCTTCTCTTTTGCTTTTCTTACTCCAGATCTTTATATGTTATAATAATTGACTTTGTCTTCTTGAGCTGCTCTTTGAAATCTGTTGAGGTCTTTTATCTTGTTGTTTTTTCTATTTGGCTTCGCTACTCTCTGTTCAAGGGCAAGTGTCAGAGTCTTTTCTGACATCCTTTTTGGCCTTTTCTTCCTTTCCTGTCTTTTTAATGACCTTTTGCTTTCTTCATGGATGATGTTCTTGATGTCATCCCACAATTCCTCTGGTTTTCAGTCATTGGTGTTCAGTGCATCACATCTGTTCCTGGTCTCTAAATTTAGGAGGGATATAATCAAGGTCTGGTAGCATAGTGGCTAAGACACTGGCCTGCTAACCAGACGGCTGGCGGTTCAAACCCACCAGCCACTCCTCGGAAGGAAGGTTGGGCAATTCTACTTCCGTAGTGATACTGCCTCGGAAACCCAAGGAGAGGTTGCTATGAGTCAGGTTTGACTCGACGGCACATAACAACAACATAATCAAGGTCATGTTTTGGCTCTCATGGACGTCTTTAATTGTGTTCAGCTACAACTTAAACATGCATATGAGCAGTTGATGGTCTGCTCCACAATCAGCTCCTGCAGTAGTTCTGGCTGAAGATGTTGAGCTTCATCACCTCTTTCCTCAGATGTAGTCGATCTGATACTTGTGTTCTCTTTTTGGCGAAGTCCACGTATATAGATGATGTTTATGTTGTTGACAAGAAGCTCTGGTAGTGTAGTGCCTAAGGTATTTGACTGCTAACCAGAAGGCTGGTGGTTCAAACCCACCAGCCACTCCTGAGAAGGAAGATTGGACGATGTACTTTTGTAGTGACACCTCTTCAGAAACCCAAGGAGGTGTCACTATGAGTGAGATCTGAGTTGATGGCAGTGAGTTTGGTTTTCTTGATTTATGTTGTTGAAAAAAGGTATTTGCAATGAGTAGGTCATTGGTCTTGCAAAATTCTGTCATGGAATTTCCAGTGTTAATTCTTTCACCAAGGCCGTATTTTCCAACTACTGATGATTCTTCTTTATTTCCACCTTTTGCATTTGAATCACTTGATGATAAACACATCTTAATTGCATGTTTGGTCAATTCTAGGCTGTAGAAGTTGGTCAAAATCTTCAATTTCCTCATTTTTTAAGCCTTGTTGGTGGCAATACTGACCAATGCTCATGTTAGGGTTCAATACACCTTATTTGCATAGTCCCACCACCACAAGGTGGCCTTGTACCTCATTTACATTATTAGCAAACTGTCCAGTCCTTTTGGTGGGCCATAAGCACCTCACATTTGGATAGTCCCACCCAGTCATGTGGTGGGAGTCACAAAGACCATTGTTAGAGGAGCCATATTACGTAATTGATTGTGCAGCAGTTGAGTTGCCAGTATGTTTGTGCAGCCCCTGGCCCTTTCGTGGCTTTAAGGGCCAAGAGGAAACACTGCCATTCTACAGTATTTGTCAGATGTTAATACATTATCCTGCCTTCACTCTGTTTCATGTTTTGCTAAGTGATTTTTATGGAAGGTGGTGAAATTGTTCAGAAGGAAGTGATGATTTGGATTAGAGCATTTCTGTAATTTCTGCTGAGTTTTCTAATCATGCTAGTCCATAAAGAGAGAGGATAAGACTGCAGTTGGGCACAGTCAAATAGGCAGTGTGTTTGAAGACTGTGAGACAGGATGCAACCAGTGAGAAAGTGAATGTAGTTAGGGAAGGAGGGACGAGGCTGATGGCTATTCCCTGTAGTAGACCTTGGTAGAACACAGAACCTTGTGTCAAATCCCTATGAATTCTCAGTTCCTCAGGACTGTCAGCCTCACCCATCGTCTGTGTACACATTGGGTTACATGGTGCCTTGCTGATCTAGAATGTGTGGGATGTTTTAGGACTCAGTGATTGTGGAGGATGTGGCTGTGGACTTTACCCGGGAAGAGTGGGCTTTGCTGGATCTTGCTCAGAGGAAACTCTACAGAGA